CCAAGAAGCCAGTTTACTGCTAAATAAGTTACTACAAAACCACTAATACACTATAAATCCACTCTTTGACCATATGAACAGGAGGCTCAGAGGGAACAAACCTCCAAACCCACCCAAAACCTACCACTGCTTTAAGAGAGACTTAAATTCCCTTGCTCTTCAATGAAGTCTCCTCTGCCGCAGCATTTTATACCTTCTGGAACTCTGAAACACACACTGGCTGGGGGAGCGGAGCAATACTCAGGAGCTTGGTGTTTCTGCGAGTGTTTTTAGGATTACAGATATGTTGTGGAGCTTCCCAACTCTCTGGGCAGGTCATAGTCAGCTCTGGTAACTCAGAGCTGTTCTCAACAGATCATCATTCAGCAGATCTCAACAAGAGATCAACTCATCTTAACTTGATTTCTCAAAAGATACAGGTCAAGAAAATAATTTGTGAAATTGGCCCTTTGGTTGACGAAGGGGAACAAGCCAGGGCTTAAAACATCTGATGCAAAACTGACCTTAAACATACTAATACCAGCATCCAAGGCTATGCCAGCAAATTGTTCAGTGTCTAATACACCTGAGATGCTGATGCATGCTTTTTAGCATTTGACCATTAAAAAAAAGGACAGGCTTGGGAAAAAAACAATAGTTAAACGGGAATGTACAAGTCTAAGATGTCTCTCTTGCCTAGACAGGGCTTGGTTTGGCAACTGAATGTCGTAAAATGCGTAAAGGCCTTCCGGACTGTATGTATATGCTCGGCCAAGATGACTCTAAGAGCCTTCCTTGCTTTCACGATGCTATTTTTCGTTGTTCAACAGGTATTCAGCAGTAAGAAACCACAGCTGCAAGACTTCTTGGTTCAAGAAAGATGAGGAACTCCTAGAGAGACTCCAGAGGAGGGCAACAAAGATGCCTCTACTAGGAAAGGCTGAGGGAGCTGGGCTTGTTTAGCCTGAAGAGAAGACTGAGAGGGGATTTCATCAACACTTACAAATATCTTAAGGGTGGATGTCACGAGGACAGAGCCAGACTCTTCTCAGTGGTGCCCAGCAACAGGAGAAGGGGCAATGGGCACAAACTGAAGTATAAGAGGTTCCAGTTGAACGTGAGGAAGAACTTCTTTACTTTGAGGGTGACAGAGCAGTGGAACAGGCTGCCCCGGAGGGCTGTGGAGTCTCCTTCTCTGGAGATATTCAAACCCCACCTGGATGATGTCCTGTGCAACATACTCTAGGTGAACCTGCTTTAGCAGGAGGGTTGGACTAGATGATCTCCTGAGGTCCCTTCCAACCCTTGCCATTCTGCGATTCTGTGACTTTGGCAACCTTAAATTATCATGGAATCACAGACAAAGAATTAAGAAGTCCCAAATTCTCATTCCAGGTCAAACTTTGTCCATTAGCCACAACTGGTCACAATCCCAGACTCACATTCACCATGAATCACTTCCCTAGTTCACGAGTTAGCAGTTAACACACGTAGAGCTCTTACTACGAAAGAAGCATTGAGTGCTCTTAACGCTAAATATTATATTGACCGCACCGTTGTACATGTGGATCGACAGCCTCTAATTACGTTAGAAACTGACCCTGGTATAAAGCATAAAATCTCCTAAGATTTGTAGGTCTCCTGGAAAAAAAAAAATTAATAATCAGAGAAGAATAAACTGCACCTCTGATTTCTTAGACACGTAAAGTCTTCCAATCGTGAAGCCCCTTCAAAGAATCTGTCCATTTGTTACCACTAAAGGCACCTAAATTAGTATAGGACGTTCCCCTTTCAGCAAAACCTCTGGGTTTTTGTTCCAGCAAAACCACTGTACAAATTCTGTTCACTTTTAGATACATTGTTTCCTAAACCATTCATGCAGTTCTCTGGCTCTTAACTAAACCTGCACAACCAACTCGTGATGAAATGAGAGGATTAAGTCCCAGTGACAAGGACAATTTAGGATAAATCTGCACTATTGCTACCAGTGGTGACCCCACAAGCAGCTTCATTTTGTCTACACATAAGAGATCATCATGACCTTTTTTTGTCATTTATTAGATGCATTGGAGCACATTTCTCCATCAACCTTCAAGAGCATCTCTGCATTCAATTCCAAGCAAGGATGACCTTCCCTTGCCCCTCACCATTCCAAACCTGCCTGGAATACCCCAGCCAGGACTAAAAACCTGGGATCCACCTCATCGACAGTAACAGCTTCTCCTCAAACTACACCCTGAAGCACAAAGAGGACCACCCCACCTGCAGTTAGCTGTAGTTCACTTGTTGGACTCTTCTGCTCTTGCAATGCAAAGCTCCAGAGGCAGAAAAGGAACTTTCGCAACACTTGGCCTTTAAATCTGCAGTCAAAAATTAACAAGCCACGGATTTCTGCAGGCTGTGGGCTCAAAATCTGCTAGGCTGTATTTACACTGACAGTAACTTAAGAGCTTCTTAAGCTCCTAGAAAAGTACGCTTTCAAAAGGTGCTTCAGGGTATGGGGAGGAAGGGGAGTAACAAAATTCTCTGGCTTTCCTAGCTGGCTTTTCTAATTTTCCTGAAACGCTTGCTCTAAGTCTGGAAACAAAGCCTCAACATTGAGAATGCAAACAATTTAGTTGTTTTAGTACTGAATGGTCCCAACGCAGCTAGGATTTGGGAAGCAGTTCCTTCGCTTGAATGTATTTTACACACACACACCCCCCTACCTCCCCCACGCACGCAGCAACGCATCGACGCAGAGAAGCACCCTGCAGACATGGGCTTCAAAGTTCAAACCTGGGGACCACTGCCCTTCAGAAAAGCTCTACCAACACTAAGGAACTCCACAAAGCAGTGGGACTCATTCTTAGCAGTCCTAAAATAGGAATCCAATTCCTAACTGTTCGGATGTGCCCAAGTTTCTCAGTCTCCAAACTCAAGGTCATTGAAAAAAAGCAGCATGCTGCACACTAAAAGCCTTGCAGACATGCGACCCATCCCAAAGGAAGATTCCTATGGCCCTTCCCTTAAGCATCCACAAATTACTTCTCCCATCCAAATAACACCCAGGACCCAACTCAGCAGGCTTCTTTAGCCTCACAACTTATTTTCCCTATCCTCTTTACCTTGACTTTCCAAGAGGTCACAGATCAAATTAAAATGTATAAATCCGAATAGGTAGATTTTTTTTAACAAACCAAGAGAAAGAAGAGGAAATGACCTGGTTAGCAGCAGACACCTCAAAAAGAGAAGGTTTTGCTACAGCTGAAGGAGTTGCCAGGAGCAGCAGTTGCTCCCCAGGACAGATGGCTCAGAACACGGAGCCAGCCAACAACAGAGGATGGAGTTCCTCACAACAGGGGCAGACAGAAGAAGAGGTAGGACCTGAGACTTGACAGACCCAGCACAAGAGGACAGTAACGTCAGGGAAACTTTGATACGCCCAGCGACACTGGCCCATATGGCGGCTGTAGCTCGGGCAGCAGCCCTCTCAGCTGGCATCCTACCTCTACCCTTCATCCTCCAGCTGACACGGCCATCCACAGGAAGAAAGGGAAGAAGCAAGACAACAACACCTCAGCCCAGCACAAGTAACAGCCTGATGCGGCCCAGTAGCCCCAGGAAGGAGTTTGGCCAGCAGACGGTGGCAGAGCAGAAAAGGCTGATCTCCTCTCCTAGGGAAGGGGCTGCAGGACACCCACCGGGGCAGGGGAAAGTTTCACGTGAAGGCTTAAGCGAGGGAAAGGTGAGCAGGGGAGGGAGCAGGGCAGAGTCAGCCCTCAGGAAAGGGGAGAAGAAAGTGAGGACAGGGCAGTGGCAGCTGTGGGAGGGGGATAAGAAGTCAAAAAGCAGGGGCTGAACCGG